AATCCGGAGTCCTTCCTCAGAGGCCCCTAGTGGTGCTGGGACTCCAGTCCCTGCACAGACTGTTTCTGGGGCCTCACTTTCCCAGTATCCTCTGCACTTCCCAGTGGACATCCCTTTGGTGTAGGTCTGGGATGGATGTTTTACACTGTTGTCCCACAGGGTCTCTCCACAAGGCTTCACTTGACAGAGAGAAAAGGGCCTTCCTGTCTGTGCCACCAAAACAGCTCCCTGCCAACTCCCTAGCCCTGTCCCCACCCCAACCTCTTGTTCTGGGTCCCTCTAACTGGAAAGAACACTTCAGCAGCCTACCCTGGCCCTGGCCGGCTCCTCCCCACACACTCCCCCTACCCCCCAGCAGTGGCTCTCTAAGGTGCTGCAGTTTCTTCTGGGATCCAGGCCCTCAAGCCCCTGGGACCCAGATGCTGCCACACTGACTTTTCAACTCCTTCAACTTGAGAAAAACAATTGGACAGAATGTAGTCCTTGGAATAAAGATAAAAGGTGAATTTTAAAATCCCACAGTCTCCAAGAAGCCCAAAGACAATTTGAAAACTGAACAGAGACAGGCGGCAGATAGGGCTAGTGTTGCAGTCACACAGGACCCCACGCTCAGTGCCCTGTGCTCAGCTTAATGCTCTGCTGTTGCTGTCTTGAAATTCTTAATGCTTTTTGAACAAGAGGTCCTGAACATTCTGAGCCAGTTCTGGTGGCAGGTTATGAGGAGCCTTCAGAGGACACTGTCCCAGTGGGAAGGAGCTGGCCTCAATTGCTCTGGGGTGGCTTAAAGACCCCAGGAGAACTTGGGGTCAGTTCCAGGACCCTGGCATGTGCCAGCAGGCACCCAAGCCCCTTCCCAACCATGTGGTCACACCTGCAGGAACCACCTCACCTCTCTGCACCCAAACTTGCCATCCCAGACTGAACCCTAAAATGAACAGTTCAGAGGCACAAAACTAAAAGGCAGTCCAAACCTAGGACACTCTATACCAGCCGGTGGGGTAAAAAATCAGCAGCACTAAATAGCCTGTTTTCCAGCTGGCTAAGTTTCAGCATATCATCTGTAAAGTGGGTACATGAACAACAGTGACACCTTCATGGGGCTGAAACACCTGTAATGTTCACAAAAGTACTTTCTAAAGCGTAGAGCACAACTCACAGCTAACAGCATCTATCATTTCCCACCACTACCTCTAGCTCCTTTAACTTCTGTTAAATCCTGTCAATGCCACCCCCTGGGGGTACCCTGCTGCCCCACAAGCCCCTCAGTACCACCTACACATGGGTTAGGGGGTCTCTGGTTTGTTTCTTTGGACCCCTGTGTAGGATAAAATGTGCTTGCCACTGCCAGGCTGAGGCAGGTGGGCAAAGCAGTCCCTAACTTGGAACAAATGCTCCCTGGCCAACTTTAATTCTGCTGCAGGACTTGTGTGTGGCTTCCAGGAGCTGATGGGGTGGGAAGCTTGGGCTGCCACTTGGCAGAGGCTGGCAACCCCTTGCCACCATCACTGGTCTGCTCACTGGGGACACCAGGCCAAGGGCAGAGGATAAGGGAGTATATTCACCGTGCCCCTCACTCCCACAGTAAATACATCACAACTTCATCCTGCTTATTACTAAGCAGTGGTTCTCTGGGACAACACTGGTGACTATAATTTTTCCCCTTCTCTTCCTGAAATCCTTTTATTTTTAAAAATATATTTTTATTGATATCAGAGAGAGGAAGGGAGAGGGAGACATAGAAACATCAATGATGAGAGAGTCATTGACCAGCTGTCTTCTGCACGCCCTGTACTGGGGATTGGGCAAGCAACCCAGGCATGTGCCCTGACCATCCCTGACCGTGAATCGAACCATGATCTCCTGGGTCATAGGTCGATGCACAACCACTGTGCCACACTAGTTAGGCAAGGCACCTTCTTAAACCTCTTGCTTCTCAAAGTGGTTTCCTGGAGTGTGGGCATTGCCTGGGGTTTGTTAGGAATGCAGAATCTCAGGATTACCCCAGATCTGGTTTTAAACAGGGCCCCTGGGGAAGGAGGATGCACTCCAGGTCAAGAAGCCCTGTTCTCTGATGCATAGGAAAGGGCTGAAACCCAGGTCCCTTCTCTTCAGTGCACAGGTACAGACGTCTGGGACTCCTGACACCCCAGGAGCTGCCCAGAAACCTCAGGAGCCCCTGCTGGAGGCCCTGCTCTGGCTTCTGGGTCTGAGCATGCAGAGGACACCCCTGAAGCACCTCCTCCTGGAGTGTGCTCCTTCTTCCCAAGATGGAACAGGAATGCCCCCCATGACAGACAGGCGCTGGATATTCTGAGGCTTCCCCAGAAGTCATGGGACTGTTTACCCAGATCTGGAAAAGAGGGAGATGAACACAGAACTACAGGAGACACATATACAAAACAGAAAAACCAGAGACTCTAGAAGAGGCCCATCTATAGGTGTCAGTGGAGCCCACTGGCTGTGGGGCAACATGGGAGCTTGCTGCTCTCTGCTGAACCCAACCTCATTTCTGGATGCTTCTTGGATCAGAACGGCTGTGGTAAGTGCAGTAACTACTTGATCTATTTTCCTTTTCAAAGAATCCTATGGGGTGGGCATTATGGATCCCATTTCACAGACGGGGACACTGAGGCTTGGAAAGTCAGTGTCTTGTCACCAGTGCACACTGGGGAGAGAGCAGGGCCGGGATTCAAACCTTACACCCTTGTGCTCCATCCTGCCTCCAATGCAGAATTTGCTTTCCCATCACCAAAGGAGTGAGTGCAAGCGAGGAGCAGACAGACAGGAAACTCACAAGGACAACGCAAGGAGGCCCAAGAACATCTAACCTGGAGAAGAGGGGCCTCTGAGTCTCTGAGGAGAGGAGGCTGGCTTGTGAGTGTATCCAGGGGAGGGGACAAAATCTGGGTAGAGGCAGTGGGTTAATGAGAGATCGGGTCACAGAGCAAATCCCGGTGCCTTCTCCTCAGTAACCCAAGCTGGGCTGTCCGAGGTTCCCCTCCCCCCTCACATGGGTCAAGGCCATGCCTGGCCCACAGGGAGAGCTTGGCAGAGGGCAAACCAAGCTTCTGCAGGAGGAAGTCACCTGCAGCCCCAGCTGGCAGTCTGTCAGTGTTGGCTGCTTTTAAGTTACACACCATCACCCTACACCACCACATCTCAATGATCCCACTTCATTTATTACCAAAATATCACAGAATTCCAGTCATAGTTCACATACAGTGTTTAACACAAACCTGATACCTGTGGAAAAAACTAAGTATTCGAACAATCTAATGTTTGGAATCGTAACATCCCAAACTGTTATCACTCTGTACTCCAAAAATACGCTTTGAGAGCTTTGGAAACTGAATTAAAATGTCTACACAGCTATGAACAATTGTTTAATAAAACTTTTTCATGTTTCCATTACATGTAAATATATCAATTTGGCATCTCTATAAAAACTCTGAAAATGGTGCAAAAGTTTCATTCTCTTTGAGAAAGCCATTGACAAAAAATATTCACACTTCACTAAAATTTTGAAAAATGGTCTTCTTTCAAAGCTTCTTTATTAATCTGAAATCTTCTGGATTATCAAAATCTAGGTTTGCTTTTTCCTCTTAAAACACTAAAGAACATTTATTCACAAGGATAAAAAGGGAAATAGGGAGATGGAAAACTGAGAAGGGCTTTTTTTCCCCCCTGAAAATTAAAAAAAAAGAAAAAAAGAAGAAAAAAGCTAGTTACATAAGCATCCTCAAAATAACACAATGGGATTCATTTTATTGTTGACTTTCGGACAGCAGTGTCATACTTTATTGAAAACAAACCCATGTAAAAACAAAGTTAAAATGAAAAATGGTATCTGAAAAATAAATTATTTTATATAAAACAAATCAGTAACTTAAAACACTAATATACAAAATGTCTACCCATCTACTGTACAACATGGGGACCAGTCAGGAAAGCTCCCCCCTCCCCCAGAGCAAGTCACTGTAAACAGAACATTACATGGTAAAGAGGTGGTCCCAACCAATGGACAAGCCTTCTCTTCTGGGGGTGGGGGAGGGAGTGAAATACAGTCCTCTCAAAGTCACTGCTCAGACCATTGGTTAGCCTATCATAGCTCCTAGCAGTGACTTACAAGTAAGTTTTCTTTTTAAAAAACGACCAAGCAGAAAACTGAACTATATCACCAAAAGGCTGTGGGAAAATATACAATACAATCATTAGAAGTCAGAGGCAAATCAAAAGGTTTAGAACCCTCAACCCTGCTGAAGATTTGGGATTCAGGTTCTACTGCTTTTGTAAGAAAGGGTCAATTATCAATACCACTCAACAGAAAGCACTTGTGACTTTAGTTGGTGGCTGGCCTGGGAATCTGATGAATGGGAGGGAGGGAGGTGCGTTAGGCCCTGGGAAGATGAGAAGAATTTCAGGTGGAGGATTAGGGTGGGGGTCGGCAGCATATTCTTATTCTTTTTTTATCCAACACAGGAAGTTTGCAAGCAGCAGAGAAAAAATCAGGCTGAATCAGATGTAAAATGGAACAGCTAGCTGAATGATGCTAACTTTGATTTTCAAGCCTGACAGTGGACTTAGGTCAGTCAATGGCCATAAAATGGCCTAGTTTGGAGGCCGATCAGAATAGGTTATTTCCAATAACGGTCACTGGATTCATTTACTTGTCTGACCCAGTAGGGACCTCTCAGCTGTTAGCTCAGAAGCACCAGCTCCTCCAGCAGCCTGGTACAGACCCTGGACGCTGGGTTTCTAGCACTAACATCAAGTGCAGACTTTCAAAGGTTAAGGCAGCTGCCTTTGGCAAGGGAAAGACTCACCTTCTGAACAAAGATGGCAGAGCCAACCCAGCACCATCTGCTGATGAGAGGCACAGCCAGTGCAGAAGACCACAGCCTAGCATATTACACTGAAAAGCTAAAGGGCAGAGCCAAGAGTAAAAAATAGATAATTCAATTGGAACCAGGTTTACAAGTTTAGAGCTGCCTAGCAAACAATTGTTAGGGGAGTTACACAGGCCAAGAGAATTCAACCAAAGCTTCTTTGGTATTTATGTACCAAACCAAACTTCCGATAAATTAACTTTATCTACTCTTAATTCTTTTTCATCAAAATTCCCAAATAAAAGCACTCATTTTGTGAAATACAAATATGACTGATCTATGTAAACTTTTAAAAATGGTTTCTTTTGAATTGTGACTTTTAAAAAATAAATCTTCCTTTTGCAAACAAGCCTAAAGAAGGTATATGTAATGAACTTTATAGACACAGGGCCGGCACCTGGTACCTGGATGGGAGTGACTATTGCTTTTCAGGAGGAACAGGTCAAAAGCAGAACCCTTCCAAACACCTGTACCTCAAAACTCCCAAAGAAACACGATGGGGTTTTCAGCTAGAAGGCTATTCAAAGAGTGGTGAGGTGACCATGGAACATGAGAATTTTACTGACCTGAGAAACTTCAGGCAATTTTCAAAGGTTCTTATGTACTTCACATCTCCTCATCTGAGCTAGCATCAGAACAATCAATCTGGTTCAAATAAGAGGGAGGGGAGGAAAGAAGTTGCGATGCTGTCTGCGAGCCCACCATCATTTCAGTTTGCACTTATGACATCATCCTTTTAAGAAAACGAGCACTAGCGCAGACAGGAATGGGTGAGAAAATGCTGGCCTAAGGTTGTACAACCTGAAAGGCATTTTTCCAGAAAAACATCTTAGTCCTAGGGTGAGAAGCACTCTGGGGCAAAAGAGCAGGGAACCCTCTTTGTGTTTTGGGTTCTAGGAGGAGGCACGCAAGCTTTGACTTAGGATCTGGGAAATTCTGCTGGAGGGAGGAGGCCCTCCATGGCACAAGCCAACTTATGAGGCAAGGCCTCAGGCATGAACTTGGCCTTCTGTGGGAAAAGAACGTGGCACCATCTTACATTTGGGAGAACAAAGCAAGCAGCTGGTAGCCCCTCAATAAAGCAGGAGGGTAACGGCACAGATAGGCAGTCTCAAATTTTTCCAAGGGCTTCTCAGAACACTGATCTTTTCTGGAGAAGGCTGTGTCTATTGGCCCTTTTCCCCTACTTAAATAAATAAATAAGTAAATAAATAGACAGACAGATAAATAATGCTGCAATTCCATGATCTCGGTAACTAAAAAACAGCCTATCATTACATATTTTAGTCTCATGTCAAGGTTAAAAACTGCTGGTACGAAATTATCCTGTTTTTTATTCTCTCTGTACACTACTTATAAAAATTGGATCATGCTCCTTAGGAGTTGTCCGGAGATCTGGCCCTGGCTACTTCTCAGGCCCTCTGTCAGACTCTCCCTACTGGCTCCCCATTTTAAAAAACACCATCTGTGACTGCACATTCCTACAGGACAGATTTGTAAATGCTTTGTCTTGAGGCAAGTATTTGTTTCTTAAGATCTTATATATCCTCCCTGAATGCTGGGCCATCTGTACCTCACCTAGCCAAAAAGAAAGAAAAGGTAAAATAAAAAACAAAACAAAATTTGAGCAAAACAAAATCAAATTTAATGGTCTTAAATGCAAAAGTAAAAACAAACAAAAAACACAAAAAAGCAAAAGAAAATTAACAGAACAGAACCACCCAAAATGTCAAAGCAATATGAAGAGAACTTTGAGGGTTAATCTTTAAAACTACAAATCAAAGAGTTTTTTTGTTAATAGATAATTGGCAAGAAGTAAGTACTTTTCTGCTGAGTGTTCATATGAAAGCAAAGTTTCAAAACAAAATCTGACTAAAATAGAAAAAAGTCTAGCACTCACGAGAAGGGATGCGAGAAATACAATGCTCAAATGTTTATGTGTTATTAAAAATAGAGCTATCTTATGCATTCGAGCTATGTTAAATGCTTTTGGAAACTGGAGAAATGACTGTGAACAACAATATCCAATGTGAGGGGCACTGTGCATGCAATGTGTGGACAGGAACTCAGAATGTCAGAGTTAACAACACATCTTCAGGTGTGCCTGGGGCTTAGATCTGACTCAGGAATATATGGAGTTTCCCTGAAACTCTTTGGTCCGTTCCCATAGATGTCTGGGCTTAGGAAACATAGTGTCCTCTTCTAGAGGGCCTGGCCCGGCGTGTGGCCTCCCCTCCCCGGTGGTAGCCCATGGCCACTGCCAGGACCACTAGGCAGAACCCGGGATTGAGCAACCAGGAGGTGGTATTGGGACCTGCTTGGGGAAGCAATTTCATGTTAACCAAAGCAGAAATCGCTTAAAATGTTGAAGCAGTTGAGAAAACGCACACTCAGCATCTGTCTAACATCTTTAGTTTAAAAACGAAAACTAAAAGGTCATTTCTTTTCTTTTTTCCAGTCTGTGGAGACACCGAATGAAATGGGTGTTAGACAGTCTTAGAAGTTAAAGCATGCTTCAGTTTCACCACCATCCCGAAGGACTGGTTAGTCAATGCAGTCTACTTAGATTTCTGTTTAATATATATTTTAAAGGAAATAACTTAAGAAACTTAAAGTTGGTCTAACATTGTGGGATTTCAAACATTTGAACATGTTGGTTGCATCTCAGAGTATAAAAACCTTTTCACTTCTCATTTAGACTAAGACAAACACTTGTGAAAATTGGCGCAAAATGAGTTGTACACTAACAAAAAAGTTTCAACTTCTTCACTCTGAATTATCTATTCCGTACAAAAAAAGCATGAGTGAGTTATTTGTGGGACTTGTTGGTTTTGAAGGAAACCTGTAAAATTTTGTCCCCCAGGCGGTAGCCATTCAGACTTGCTATGGCCATCGCGGCTTCTTCATAGTTTGTCATGGTCACAAAACCAAAGCCTTTGCACTTGTTGGTGTTGAAGTCGCGAATCACTTTCACATTGGTGACTGCACCAAAAGGGCCAAACATCTGCCAGAGGATTCCCTCATCGGCATCTTGACCAAGGTTGTAGATGAAGATGCACCAGCCCGAAGACGCGTTGCCTGGGACATTGACACCAGAAAGCCCACTCATGTGATCTACACCCATAGGGGAGAACCTAGCAAACAGAGAGCACAGCATTCAGGTCAAGGTCAAGGTCAGTGTGGGCCGGCATGCCAACACTACTGGGGGAGCAGGTGGGGACCAGGTGGGATTGGCTCAGGCCCTTCCCTCTCTCGTCAGCCAGAGGAGAAATTCTCAAGGCTGGCACACCCCACCAGTCATAAGCAAGATTTTGTTTTTAACTGAAAGGAATTCAATATGGTGGCAGAGGAAGGGAGTCAACTCTGAGAGACACTTGTTGCCTGTGGAAGGTCAGAGTCTCAACTGATTTCATTCAGAGTGGTGGCTTGTTAGTGGTCGACAAGCCGCTCCCTCTACCCTTTCTACTGTGTGTGTGTGTGGTTCATGTTAGTCATTTCTGTGCTTCCCACATTTTCAGTAATGGAAGCTTCTCCACATCCTCTGAGGTGCTCTTACACCTCAGACTGCCCTGGAGGAAACGATTTCTTCATACTGTGTGTGTGTGTTTTGGAGAGGCCTGCATTTTTTTTTCTCCCAAATTTTCTACCTTCCGCTGGTCATGACCTGCCATCTCCAAGGGTTCACAGGCAAGCGGTGTCTGGGTTATACATGTTCCTGTGAAGGGCCACTGCTGGCACAAGGCAATTCCTTCCCAAAGATCTGGGCAACCTTCCATTGCTGGCTTATAACATCCCAGAAGGGCGAGAGGCTGAACTGCAGGGTCACTGAACTGTACCAAAAATGGAGAACCCTTTCCAAAGTGACACTTTTAGTTACATCAAAACTAAACCTTCTACCAATGTGTGGCCACTGCAATAAGGATTAAGGGAGATGATAAAATTGTTATTGAAGCCATGTGGCCCTCTAGATGGTTCACAAATTAAAAAGTCATGGTTTCAGGTCAATTTAAAAAGATTTGAATGTGATACAGCATCTGTGAAGTCACACAATGCAAATGGAGGCGCATTACCTGCTCCAAAACAAAATTGGGCTTCAAGCTGTGGGGCTGATATAGAGGTAAACGGGTGTCTTCAAGGGTCATTAAACAGATTCACTTTCTCGACAGACTTGACCCCAGGCAGGTTGACCAGCTCTCAAGGTACAGCTCTCAAGGGTTGTATTCAACACAGGTATGGAAGAATCCAGACACATTATTGGCCATGGTTTTGACTGCAGGAGAATAATTTTAAACAGCCTGCACCAGAATGTCTGAGTTGGTTAAATGACTCAGGTGGCTTGTTAGTAATCCCGAGTCTGTCTGGGATGACAGTGAGACCACAACAACATTGAAATGGGGGCGGGAAAAGGCACTCAGTCAGTTCTCAATGAGAAATGGAAAGGGGTTCCCATTTTTAAAAGGACCCCTTAAAAGGACCTCATTTCCTCCAAGTTTTGTAGGGTAACAAATATGGGCATGACTTATTATAGTTAACCTCTTTATATAGCGATTATACTGCAAATGATCTGAGGAAATATTTTACTGCCTTTTAGTGACAAGATTTTCATTCTTATGAATTATTGTTAAGGTTTTTCTCCTGCCAACTGGAGCCGATTTCTTTTGCCCTGCCCATCAGGAAACCCACCCCTGACTCTTTTCTCTGATGGCACAAAAGGAAAGCTGACCCTCCTTTATCTGTGGCTTTCCCCAGTGTGATAACAACAGAGGCACTCTTATCTTCTGGGTCTTTCTCTCTCTTATTCTTACCTTAGTCTGCCTTCTGGAGATAAATCTTCCCTCCCACCACTTTCTTCCATCTCTTTTTGTTCTGTTCCTCTGGCAGTGTGATTCCTTTCCTGCCTAGCAGTTAGGCTCCTCTGGTCTACCCTTTATTTTCTACTGTTCGTTGCTGTGACCAAGGACCCCTTCTCTTCCTCCAGTTGTCCCTGGTTTTCCAGAGTTACCGTAACTCAATGAACACTGCCATCTACACATCCCACCAGGTTACCAGTGAGGTGGTCTGTGTTATCTGACTTCCATACTGGATTTACTTCCATACTTATTTCTGTCTGAGGACACTTCCCCTGCCTTTGTCTAGTAACAAGGAGAGCCAGCTTTGGAACTTGACATAGTTGAGGACTCTGGATTACTTAATGGGCTGTATAAATGACGCCTTGCTAAATGGCCTCTGTGGAAATGGGCAGGGTTTTACCCAATCTCACTGCTTAAAACAAAATGTGAAACCTGACAAGTTGCAGAGAAAAATCCTTAACATACCTGAGTAAGCCACTTCTTGAAGTTTTGACAAAAACAAACAAAATGGCCCCTAAATTGAGATTGCCATGATCTGTGAGGTGGTAATACACCTGATTTTGGAGTCCAAGGTACTGACTTGAATTGTTCCTATTCTAGATCCTGGCAACTAAAATCATTTCCAATATGGAAAGACTAAGGAATATGGGAAAACTAGTCCCTCTAGGACAGGGCTTTTGAACAGAAGGCATAAAATATTTAGATATCAAAATAATCCCAAAAGGTAGGTGTATGAGAAAGGGTTGTCTTAGGGCTGATGATCAAATGTCTAAAACCTGTCTAAAAACTCTGGAAGGAACAGCTCTCGCTTAAGTATACCTAAAGCTGCATCTTTTTCTCATGCATGTGGAATGATATATATATATATCTATATATATTTTTTAGAGTATTTCCTTTTTTAAAAAAAATTGAATTTATTGGGGTGACACTGGTTCACAAAACCATACAGGTTTCAAGTGTACAGCTCAATAAAACATCATCTGCACACTGCATCATGCGCCCATCATCCCAAGCAACGTCTCTTTCTGTTCCCATGTCCCCCTCTTTGTCCACCTCCCCAACCCCCATCCCCCCTGGTTATTATTACACTGTTGTCAGTGTCTGCGTTATATCTATATATTTTTTTTGGAATGATCTTTTAAACTCATGGCTTCACCCTCCCGTCTCTATAGACTATATGCTGGAGTGCTATCACTCACTCTCCCAGTAGTTGGTCGGAACTGGTAGCACCTCTTTTATTCCAGTTAAAGACAACACTTGATTGAAAAGATATGGCTTTCATACAGATACCTTTATAATGGAGGTGGGGACATGGAGACATGAAATGATTGAGTGCAACCTTCCGATGTGATCAGCCTGGTATGCCCAGTGCTTCCCACTGTGCATGGTTTCCCAGCCAGTGGGGTTCTAACAGCTTTCAAGGCACCACTGGCCATGGTGGGAAGAGACTGGGTAGGCAGGTGAGAGCGCTGCCCTCCTGACCCACCTGAATCTCTGTGCCTGGTGATGCACGGGGCCTCCGAACCGTCTAGCTGGCGAGTGGTACAGCTGGGAGAGCAGCGCCACGTTTTTGTTCTGGTTGGGATTGGCTGCAAACTTCACTGTAATGGGCTCAGAGGAACCTGGGGGTTTATGACCATTGAAACTGGTAATTGCCTCTTCTGCTTCCGACCGTTTGTCAAACCGGATAAACGCAACCCCTCTGGACAAACCTTTTTAACAAACCAACAAAAATGGAGTTAGGGGGAAAAAGTGCAAGGATTTTTTTTAAAACTAAAAAACAAAAATTAAGTCAGTAATTCTATTGTGCTTCAAACTGGATGCTTGGTTAATGAGATAAACAAAAGTTAAACCTAAATATTCTCAGTCTCAAGGCCTTTTGGGTGAAGATTTCCTTATTCTGTGTGAAGTGAATTTGGAAACTCAAAATATATCCACATTTAAATTAAGAACAAAGGGACAGCCCAGCCAGAGTGGCTCAGTTGGTTGAATGTCGTCCTGCGCACCGAAAGGCTGCTGCTTCGATTCCGGGTCAGGGCACATATCTGGGTTGCCGGTTCAAGCCCTGGTTGGGACACACACGGAAAGCAACCGGTCGATGTTTCTCACATCGATGTCTGTCTCTCTCTCCCTCTCTCCCTTCCTCTCTCTAAGCATGTCCTTGGGTGAAGATTAAAAAAAGAATAGACATTTATAACTCAATTAAAAATAGTTCTGTGACTACCTAAAAAACAAAACAGGAACGAATTTTTAAAAACCAACAATGACTAATAAAAGATTAAGGTTTCAGAGTTTCTTTTGAGTTTCTCAGTGCCAAAAGATATTTTGGCGACAGAGAGCCACATTAGAAGCAATCACCGCCCCCCCACCTCCCATCACTATTCTGACATCAGGTGCCCACCCCAGATGGGCTAGAGAGGGAAGGCAACCAGGGCTGGGTCTGAGGAATTCTTCTTGGGCTCTGGGCCCTCCCATGCCTGCCCTGCCTGCCAGTGTGCCCAAGGAGCAGTGGTGCCTCCGAGGGCCCGTTGTGAAAAAAGAGCAACCTGGTCTCATAGCCCAGACAGGCCTTTGTAGTCTGCTGCCTTTCTAGTGGGCCCAGCAGAATCCCTGGTTACGTGGTGCCCAGCTTGGCCTTCTCCTTCATCCCCAAAGGGCATAGAGTCTCAGTAACCAAGCCTTACCCAGACAGTTCTTTCCTGCAGCCATCTCCTCACTCATTGCTATGAGGTCCTGGGACCTCCTGTGGGCTCCAATCTGCCCTAAGAATCAAGTGAGGTCACTCATTCTTTCCCCCTAAGCTGGCCAGGCACACACAACAGTGCTGACAGTCCCCTATAGACCCCCTGGCAGGTTAAGAGTCCCTGCCTTAGGCCCACTCCATACCTGATCCTGGTCCTGCATGGGAAGGGCCAGGGCACCCCTGTTGTGGCCTCCATCTGCCAGGAGAGAACAACTTCTCTTGCTACCTGGACGGAGGCACCTGCAGGTAAGTCCTGAGTCCCTCAACAGAGCAGAAATGTGATACAGGACCAGGCTGCCTGAGATCCAAGGCTGAACTGCTACAGGCACTGTCTGGTGAGCTGGCATGACTGTGAGGCCCGAGCAAGCCAGGTAGGAGAGGACTCATCTATCCTCAACCCCGTCTGTCCACACACTGGGTCTAGGGGGACGATGAGGAGATCTTGGCCCTTGAACAATTCAAGGAATGGGGTGGGGCTGGGAGAGGGAATTTGGAACCACAGAAGAGCCTGGCTCCTTCTTCTGAGGAGAAACGGGGTCAAGTATGAAGGTTCAAGTGTAGTGGAAGGTTGACAGCAAGGGCCAGTCTGAGGATGATGTCACTAGGCTAGAGTCGTGGGTGTAGCTGGTGGGGTGACTGAGGTCAACAGCCCTATCCTAGACACTCTCATCTCGCCTGCCAGTCATAGGCTGTCATGTCACATTTTCTTATCTAGACAAAGGCCTTCAGTACGTAGTGAATGACACTGAACAAAGCAGGACAGCCCAAGACCTTGGGCCACCAGCTAAATGAGCATATCAGATGTCCCTCCATTCAGCTCCCAGGTTCCAACACCTTTCCTTACCATTTCCCACAGGGTCCCACCAACTGCCCCTGTGATGGGCATGGGCCATGAGTCTCCCCAGTTGGTCCTAAGGCCATGGAAGGGCAGAAAGACTCAGGTACATCAGGTGGGGTGTTGAGATAATAAGTGTCACTGCAAGGCATGGTTGACCTCTCTGGGCCTGGAATCCCATGTTGGGGCCTGACTTGGATGTGATACTGTGGGCCCCACTGAAGCACACAGTAAATATCAGGGACCCTTGGGCCAAGGATTCTTTGTTTACAACTGTAACATACTGTGGACAACCCATGCTGGGTCCTAAAGTATGCAACATTCCAACTGGGAAGCTCCCTGTCCCAGTTTCCCCCTCCCCTCCAGCACAGGGCCCTGAGAGATCACACAGCAGCTCCTAGCGGCCTTAGGCTACCCCCATATTGTCTTCATGACTCTTTAATTAGAAGTTTAAAATTCACACAGCCAGAGACACTCACTGAATTAGTGAGATCAGACCAAGCAATCACGTGTGCCCAGAAAATTCTAGAACCTGAACTTACTTTTCAATTTCAGTTCAAAAGAACACCTGAAAGTACTGTTTTTATTCACTCTTAAAGGGCATGAATAACAGCTTAGACAGATGGACACCTGAACAAAATCTAACTTTAGGCGAATAATGCTGAAAGCTGGAGATGGCTGGCTCCTATAGGAAACTGCCTTCAGGGAGATGGTTTTATTCTATTTATAAAGACCTCGAGATCAAGCAGAGAGTGTGTGCAAGTGGGGTTTCCCTGTTTGATTTTGTAAAATGACTTTCAAATGAAAACTTTCCAAGTGCAATGAACAAAACCCAAGAAAGAGAAAGAAAATTTTATTTAACGCAAGAGAATGTTAATTTACTAATTTAGTGAATGTATACTTTTTGAAGATCACTCTGTGTTTTGTCTCTCTAGTGGTTTTTAGAATTAAGAGCAGAGACCAATAAATGGCACAATCTCCAGATGAGTAAACTATAAAGTTCACAATTAAAATGGATAAAGTAGCAAAGAAATTTTTAAAAATTAATTTGTCAGCTCAGGATGTAAAGGCTTTTTAAGAGAGCATCCCCATTTTTCCAACACTAAAAAGCATGTCATATGAAGGCAAACCTGTCTGTCACACTGTTTTCTGCCCCAGTCCTCTGTGGGCCCCATGGGTCCCAGTAGAGGGGACCCAGGTGGGTGGCCTCCTCTAGAGCAGAGGGAAGAAGGGAGTCCTGAGCCCTAGGGGGCTCAAATTTCTACTCTCTAAATTCTACCCCCGGGTCAGGAAGCAGGACTGGAAGAAGGAGCCATGGAGTCCCTCATCTCTCCCTTCTCTCCTATCCTCTTGCAAGGATTCTATGAAGAAAAAGGTGTTGGGTGGGGGCCCCAGTCTCTTCCTTGAGGTAGCAGAGGCTGGCAGGGATGCCTGAGGGTCCAGTACACCACCTTGAGGTCACAGCTGAGACTGGAGGACAACCCTGAGGTGTCCCCAACACTCTAGGACACAGAAGCCTTACAGAGGGAAAGGAGGCAAAATCCCTAGCAAATGGCTGAGGGAGCTATCTACAGAAGTAAAACAAAAGCTTTGTGGCTGGGGATGTGTTCTCGAGGTGTCTGGGCTCCAGAGAGCAAGGCTCTGCTTAGCAGTGCTAGACAGAGATCAGCAGAGGAAAAAAGCAGTCATTGTGTGATCTAGTAAAGCAGGGCCATGGAGGCAGAATGTGGGTCCCGGGCAGCCCATTCAGACGCTCTTATGCAGGTGGGGCGGGGAATACATGCACTGACCAGCTGACTGCATAGTTTTCTCTCAAGGGGGGCTTCAGGCACCATAGGAAACGAATCTGGATGTTTATACCAAGTAAAGGGTATCCTCACTCCATGCCCACTTCCTACCCTACAGCGAAGGGGCAGAATGAAGGAGGCAATACGGGGGGGCGG